TCTTCCGATAACGATGCGAATCAGAGTTTTACACGCTTGCTGTTACCGTCCTAGGAGAAGAGGCAATTGGACGCGACAAAGATTCGGAAATATTACAGAATATATTTTCGCCCGAGAATTTGTGCCATTCTTGTTAAAGCCCTCAACAAGCCCATAGGAGAAACCCAAGTTTTTTGCACTGGGCTCATCATTCTACTTTTTGCAGTGCGGTGTTTTACTGGTTTTTGGTCTTTCATCATTTTTTTTTTCCCCAGGATTCCTAGCTAGAAGATTTTGGTAAGGGAGAAAGAAAATAAATACTTTTTAAAAGTGTATAGATTAGATTTTTTTTAACTCTTAATTAATTGTTTTTTTAATCAAATAATTATATTAAGAAAAAGATATTAATTATGAAGAATAAAAATTTAAATATATACACTCTTAAAAATAAATTTTGTAATTTTCTCATTTAGGGCTAATCTTCTTTATGGATCTGTTGGAGGGAATGTATGGACAATGATGTTTGAGTCTGTACCCGTTTAGTTTGTTTATTTGAGTTGAGATGTGGTTTTGTGTTTGAGTTTTTTCCTGTATCAAAAAAATTAAATGTGATTATTTTTGAGAATTTTTTACTGTAATAAAACTTGAATCGGTGAAATGAACGGGTGTTAATGTTTTGAGTATTTGCTATGGGATTGCCTGATATGATTGAAGCATATTATTACAAATTTGTATAGCGGTCTCGCCATCTTCCTTGAGGTTTCACAGTAAACATGGGAGTGCTTAAGTGGGCCAAACTTTTTGCCTCATCCACATCAACTGAATCCTAACAGAGTGGTCTTTTTCTGTAACAACTTGATACTCTGAAGTGGTGAAAGTGAAAGCCAGATGCTAAAGTGAGGTTATAATTCGGGTGTTATTTACAAAATTAACCCAATTCCCTTCATTGTTTTCATATTCAACCACCAACTTTTCATGCGCGCTTATACCAATTTAAGCTTGTGATTCCACTGGGGTTTCTTCATCATGCCAAGTATTGCTTTTATCAAAGAAGATCATATATTAGTGAAAAGGTAAAAAAGAACTTATTTTCCAATTTCCATCCTCATCATTTGGAATATATTTTGGAGTTAAAAGATGAGAGAGACTGAAGACGACTGTTGCAAGCTGATAAGTAAGAGAACTATATAGTTTATGCAAGTTAAAAAGTTGAGTGAAGATATGCACAAAAACGAGGGCTGTTCAACTTTTGACTCATTCAAACACAAATTCAAAATGATTCTTATCTCAAACCATAACTTAAATGTATACAACCAAATACAAACTCAAGTTACAAGTTTAACTCAAGTTATAACTCAAATTCAACTTAAGAATTATACTCAAGTTAAACTCTAAAAGAACAAGCCCTTAAGTTTCAACTTTATTCAACTTTACTCAACTTTATTCAAATTACAACCTTCAACTCAAGTTATAACTCAAAAACTACACTTAAATCACACTCTAAAAGAACATGCATTGCTATTTGATTTTCGGGCACATGGTTTGGGTCAGGAGCATACATATGCACATTTAGGTGTTAGTTGAAAATCATGCAACTTGATAACTTTGTCAGAAGAAAAAGTACAACAACAAAAAAAATTTGTTGCCGTTAGAATTGTTCTCATTTTTATTTTCACATTTTTTGAGAAAAAATGAAAATAATTTGAAAATGACGTTTGACATAATTAAAAATAAAAAAGAGAAATAAAAATGATTTTTTTGTTTAGTGTAAAATGAGAGAAAAATAAAAAATGATTTTTAGTTATTTTTTATTTTTTGTTTTCGTTTTCTTCTTTCTCGAGTATAGAAAAACATTAATAAATTTTTTATATTAAAAATAATTTCTTGATAATCAAAAATAATTTCTGTATAAAATTAAAAATATTTTCATTTCTATTTTTATAAAAAAAAAATTATTTTAAAATGAGTTGTAAACACACCCTTAGCAACATGATCCAAGTCACCCAAGTTGGTTTGCCTTACATGATGCTGTTAACGTGTATGAGCAAAGCGGATACTGGTCGATGGAATATATAGATATAGTGCCTTACACTGATCACACCAGCCCAGTTTTTGAAGTTATGGAACTTAAGTGGAATGTTGTACAAGTGGAGTTGGGCCCATGAAAAGAGTGTACTAATATTGCTATACAAGCAGCGTTAACATGTGAAATCTTTGTATTGCATAAACATTGCTCTCCAGATATCAGACAACCCCAAAAAAAAAAAAAAAAAAAAAAAAAAAAAGAAGATATTTCTTCTATAACCAACTTTACGTGCTTCTTGTGAATGCTTCAAACTGATATTCTTTGTATCAGATATTTTAAGACAGAAAATCTGACAATGCAATGTAATGGCTTGATATATATATATATATATA